GTTGTTGTAAGTATTATTGATATAAAAGTATTTAAATAAGTTTATTTTACTTTGTAATAAAGTTGATATTTACCTAAGTAAATGATTTTTATAAATTGTTATTATGTAGTTAGTAGTTATCATAATTTAATTTCACTAGTTTGTAGAGTTTTCCTATTGAATTTGCAAAATAAGTTATAACTTTTGTAAGATGATGTTTAAGTAGGATTTTTTTTTGGTAATGAAGTTGTTTAATTTGTTAGAATTCAAGGTTACGATATCATTTTAATTTTTCATAAGTTACTTTTAAATTAGTTTAAAAGTTCTTGAAATTAGTTTATTTTATTTTATTTTGTAATAAAGTTGTTATTTGCATAGGTCAATAGTTTGTATAAGTTGTTATTTATGAAGTTATTAATAGTTATTATAATTTAATTCTATTGGTGTTTAAGTTAGAGGGATTTGACTATATAATTTAAATATTGCAGATTCCATTGCAAGATTATGGTGGCAACTGTATTGATTACAGTGGTAATTTTGTCACAAACACGAGATTTGAGATTATTGATGACACGATAAACTAGGCAAAAAAGGTTGCAATTAAGATTGGTTTTGAGTTGGTTATTTCATCAAACAAAAGTTAAATGAAGAAGTTATTGAGATATTTAAATGGTGAACGGGATAGAGGGAATGCAGGGAATTTGGCGCGACGTACAAAGACTAAGTTTACTGGATGCCAGTTCCAGATTATAGCCCAACAACGCCCGTATTCTATTTATTTTGGAATTCTAGTAGCGGTCGGAGATAAGGGTTTGCACAGCTATCCATTGGCTGTATACAAGGAGGGATATCGTTAGATGAGCGGGTTTAGTGATAACTCAAAGGCCATTGCACTGGAAATGATTGCATTTGGGGAAAAGCCATCTGCAATTTTGGCAGCGATTAAGAGAAATGTCTCGGAGGACAATGCCACTGAAAAACAAGTGTACAACTTTAAAGCTGGATGCGGATGGAAAAGTTCGAGGGCAGAAATTTGGTGGAACGGTTTTATAATGTAGCTTGGAAGCACAAGTACGTAATTTTTACGGATGTCGATCAAAATATAGGTGTGGTGACTCAAGTTTTTTATGGCATCCAGTATCAATCTAGATGTTTCGGATTTATCCTTGGTATGTTGGCTTGGATTCTACATACAGAACAAATAAGTACAACATGTCATTGTGCGAAATTATAAGGATGACTCCAACTAATAAGAATTTCTTGATTGCATATGCAATTATGAAGGATGAAAAAAAGAGCTACAATTGGGTTTGTTGCAGTAGTTGAGGGCTTTGATTGGATACGATGTGCATCCGACAGCTATTCTGACTGATAGGGAGCTGAGTTGGGGCTACTAGAACCGGTTAGTTTGATTTTTCCAGATTCTGCCCATATGCTTTGCACATGGCATATAAACATTATGGTGCATGAGAACACGCGTCGTCATTGTGGAATAGACTACGCCGAGCCGTTTACTCAAAACAACTGGACAAACATTGCAGAAGCTTCTATTGAAATCGGAATATGAATTCGCCGTACTAGATATGATAAGGGCCAGGCATCCAAAGAAGGATGTGTATGAGAGATTGGTGAAAAATATGTCGAAACCACTTGGTTAGTAAACAAGAAGAAGTTTGTTCTTGCATGGACGAACAAGGTGACGCACTTTGGCAACATCAATAATTGGAGGGTCGAGAGTGCCCACTACGCGTTGAAGCGATTTCTTCAATCAGTGACCAATTCGCTAGATACAATGTTAATGAGGATTCCCGTGGGAATCGAGTGTCGTTTAACCCAGATCAGGTACATGATTAAATTTTCTTCAATCAGCGACCAATTAGCTAGATACAATGTTAATGAGGATTCACGCAGAAATCGAGTATCATTTAACCTAGATCAGGTACATGATTAAATTATTAGTTTTTTTTCTTTCCATCCTTAGTTATTTTTCAATAGTAGTATATTAATAATGCTATGTTTGATTATCAGGTACAGTCTTGAAGGTTCAAGGCGCCGTATGAGTCGAGCGTGTACTGGTTTTCCATGCACCCATCTGACACTACATATAAAATTTATTCATTCATTCTTTTTAAAATATAAAATTAATCCATACTTTCTAAAATAAAATCAATATTCTAAACATTATAGGGTTTAGGGTAAAACAATAATTACTTACATTAATTATATATATAATACTATATCACTAATTAATTACAATGTTTTAGTAATACATAAATAAATAGTTGTTTATAAATTAAAAATACAAACAAAAAATAATTAATTAATTATTACAATAAAACTAAATAATCATTAAATCTTAATAATAGTTATTAATTCCTAAATTATTATTCACTAATTAGTTATTAAGTTATAACAATGACATGATTAATACTTTTTTACAAAATACTAATTATACACTAATTAAAAACTTAGCTGACAATTCAATAAAAATTTAATTATAACAAATATAACATTAAAAACCCCAAAAAATAATAAAAAAATACAAAAAAAATAATTAAAAATCAATAAAAAAAAAAGCAAAAGAACAAGGCAGGGGGTCACCAGCCAGCTCCTACAAGGCAGCCATTTCTTCAGCTTTGGTGGCGGCGCTGATTCTGAGGGCATAGCGAACCAGCCCGTCACGGGTTGGAATTCGGTGTTTTTCTTCGGCTTCCAACCTGTGACGGGGTGGTTTGCCGAAATCTTTAGATTCACGGCGGGCAGCCCCGGTCAGTGGCATAACTAGACTTTCAGACCTCGGGGGCGGGGAGGGGGGGAGGGTGCCTTGGATTTCATTTTATTCAGTTTTTTTTTTCTTACATATACTTAGTTTATTTTTACTTATAATAGATAATTTCTTCTTTCTTTATAAAAGAAAAAATTTGATAATTATTGAGTAAAGCTATTAGACACTCTCAAAATCGCTAGATTCAAGGTCAATTTTGTAAATGTTTAAAAGCTGCATTTAAAACTTATTAGGATAAAGTTAGTTTGACTTAAAATGTAACATCAAGGACTACCTATCAAATGAATAAAGCTTTTACAAGCATTTTAAATAAAACGGGATCAATTTGTAAAACCTTTTAAACTACATATACTAATTTGCAATATCAATAAATTTTTAATTTTAAACTACTGTCTTCTTCATCCACCTGCAACTTCCAGTCGCCGTGAAATCCTGCAGCTCATGTCCATTCTCCTACAGATGCAGCCAATTGAAGCTCCTTATGTGTCCTTTCGAAATTTGTGGCTCAATGGTTCTAGTGGAACTAGTTGTTTTGGTCGTACATACAACTACGTACATCGCTGATCAGCAGCCGCTCGGGGGGCACTTGACTAGTTCCGCCTCTGGCCCCGGCGCTCAGTCCCTTTTCTTTTTTTCCTTTTTTTTTTTACTTGATTTGGTGGGAAAAAAAATTACGGGTACCATTCTCGTGCCTTGGGCTACTCCTGTGCGCCGATCCTCAAATTTTTCAAGCTTTCAATTTCTTTAGATCTGAGTTTGAAGTCAGTTTGAAGTTGTTTAAGTTTTAAAGAAATTTAAACTTTAAAGGTTTGAGGGTAAAACCATCTTATTTGGACTGGGGTGAGTAATTTATTGGACGATAAATAACAACTCAATATCTTAATTAAGTGATATCAAAACTTATGGCCACATTTTATATCACTTAGAAAAGAATACAATTTGTTTGAAAATATGTGATTCAAGTGGGAAAATGTAAAATTATCTTAAGTAGTAGTACACAATCTTACCGTTAGATGGGATAATTACTGATTATTTAATATTTGAACTAGTAATTAAAATAATTACTAAGTCATCATTATTTTTTGATGGATGGAATAACTAAGGTCTTAGGCTGATAACAGAATGGTCCAAGTATTGTCTATATACATTATGCATGTGATACACCTTAAGTACTCGTGTTTTTACGTAATAGGTGATAGGATAGAAAAGTCTTTTATTCTGCTTTGCAAGCGTACGTTTTCAGCTCATGTTCATCACTCAAACTTCAGGGCTTGTTTGGCCAACTTTCATTTTGCATTTTTATCTCATTTTACCTCTTAAAACACATCTCAAACACAAATTCCAATACTATCCTAACAACTTTTTAATTTATCTTTTAAAAAATATTCCAAAAATTATTTTTATACAATTTACCTGTCGACTTGACCAATAAATGGTTAACCCAAGAACCCCCAAATATAAAAGGTCAAAAAAAAGTAAAAAGAACTAATTTAGTGTAAAATACATATGTAAAGGACCAAACCAGTGAATTGTTAATGTAAAGGATCAAAATAAGTTTTTGGCCAAATATAAAGGATCACTTGAGCAATTTACTCTAAATTTTATCTCAAAGCATATTTTAAATCACATCTCAAACTCAAATAAAAAATTAAAACAAAAACTAAAATAAAAGGTTGGCCAAACAAGCCCTCCATAACTTCAGATGATCTTTGATACTTTTAGTTTACAATTTCAAACCATGAACAAGATTATATTCCTTTAACTATGAAGACACCAAAGTGACCAGTCAAACCACCAATATGAAGACACCAAAGAAAATATGAATTCTTCTATCTACTGATATTAGGAAAGGCACTTAAATATACATAATCCACTCATTGCTGACCCTATATTTTTTTTAAGAAAAAAAAAACGAAATTGAATATTTTCCAACTCAAAATTGAAAAAGAAAAATTGGAAAAAAAAAATCAGTAATTGTTTATTTCTCTTTTCGTCCGCTCGAAAATAATGAATTTATAATTTTTTTTTTTTAAGAAAAAATAGAAACATCTCTATTCGAACTTTAAAGAGCGGCCAACCGCCCCTATGCGCAAGTTATACAACTCATAGCAAAGAAAAAAAACAAAGAAATGGTCAAAAAAATGGCCAATGATTGCGGAAAACATATGAGTCATGAACCAGCCATTTCCTCTCTGGTCATGAGCTCACTCACACCATTGAAACATTATTAGATTTATTATTATTGAATCAAACGCCAGCTAGTTGGAATAATCCCAGATAGCCCTGAGTTTCTGATTCTGGGCTTGAAGAAAAAAGGAATTTGCAGAGAGAAATAGAAAGAGAGAGGGAGTGCAAAAGCTTCCTCTTCTCTGTTATCTCTTAGAACCATTTTATCATTTAGATGGTTAATTGCTAAGTTACATACAAAAAGGGAAAAAAAAATTTTCATACCCATATTTATATATATGTGAGCATTGATAGATCAAAAGTTTTTCTCCTGTCTCCCTCCCTTCAATTTCAGATTCTTTTGCCAAGGCTGAATTTGGTATATAATCTTAATGTGTCCTTTCTTGGATCATCATAAATCATGAGTAAACTTCGTGTTCTTTCCTCCCCACTATTGGCTCCTTCTTCTCCTTCTTCTTCTTCTTCATCACCCCAAGATTGCTATGATGATTCTGCTCTGGAAGGTAAGAATCAAATGTAGGGAAAGAAAGGGTCTAATTTTTCAATGTGCCAAAAAAAAACGTCATTTTGTTTGCAACTTTTGATTTTGGTTTTTGGTATTTGGTCATTTCTTCAGGGGTTGCAGCTAATGTAAAATTATTGCTAAAGCTGATTCAAGATCACAAAGATGCGTGCTACAAGCACAAAAACGATGGCAGGAGAATGCTAAGGGTGGCGACGATGATGACGATTCTCGACAACGTCAGGAACCGAATTCAGAAATGTCAGTTTGGAAATAAAAGATCCGAAGCAGAGCTGAGGAGATGCAATACGGATCCAAAACCGCAGCAGCAAGTCCATAGCCCGAAAACACCTCCCACGGATCCGCGAAGGCGAGGAGGAGGCGCAGGAGGAGGAGGGGATGAGTCGTCTTCAAGTTCCTTCGATGAGCACGAGAAATTAAAGAAAGCGTTCAACGCGAGCCTGGCTGCGAGGAAGAGCCTGGAAATCATGTGCTCCAGTTTAGGGAAAGAGAAAGAGATTATGTCCGCGGAGCTGGCTAAAAAGGTACACGAAGTGAACGAAATGGATGAAATGATCAACGATCTCAGGGCGCAGAACGAGACATTATCCGAAAAGCTGAAGCAATACGCCTCAGAGCCGAACAGGGAAAAAAGGATGATGACGAGCGAAGCCCATGGAAACGCGATTCTCCAGGAGCGAAACAGGGCGCTTTCGGACCATTTACAGAGGTCCCTGGATGGTTACCGATCCCTGAAGAGGAAGCTGAGGGAAGCGGTGGAGGAAAATCTGATGGCTCAATCAACAATGGAGGAAATGGTAGGTAAAGTCAAGGAAAGCTTAACAAGATTCCGGAGTTTTAAAGGACGGATAGCCGCTGATTCTTCAGCTGCGGCTGCAATTGAAGCAGAAATTGTGCATTTAGAGGAAGTTTTCGACCTTCTACAAATGAAGGTTGCCACTACTAAAATCGGTCAGAATAAAAAGATAGATTACGGAAAACAACAGAAAAGCGAGACGGCTATAAGTCGACCATATGTAGCTGTATGAGAGAGATAAAATGGTGGACTTGTATAATTTGTATACTTAGGTTCCTCGTCGTTCGGGATTTCTTTCCCCCTGGATTTTCTGTTTTCCATATTGTGCAGACCTGAGATGGATAGTTCGTCATGTTTATGTGAGGCTGATTCTACTAGTAAATAGACTCGTTTTGATCAAACACATTTTGTCACATTTCTGACTGGATATCTTCTGAACCAGTCAGAATTTTATTTTATTTTTTCTATTTCCTGTCAAAAGAACAATTAGAACACGGGATCGCATCTATCTCACGCGATAAACTTAGATTGATGTTCATCATGACTCATGAGTAGTTTTTGTGGTTATGAAATTGAAGCTCAATTGGACAGATTAAGACAGAACAGATGCAGATAAAAGTAAAAAGTTCAAAAGGCTCTAATGTTGATGATTAGTGAATAATAATTCTACATATATATATGTCCATCATATGTTAGAAAAAAGGTATTCAGAAATCAATGGTGTTTTAGGCTAATTTCAGTTCACAAAGATTTCTGGAGGATACGGTGATGATGATAAGGGTGCGAAGTGTGATTCCTGAACTTTCTCTTCTGCAAGAAACGTTGTAAAGATCTCTTCATTACAAGACCCTGAAACGCCGCCGCCGGCGACGGGCTTTTGAACGACGGTGATCGCTGCAACGACGAATCACAAACTTCTGGAGAAATCGAAGATGGGCTGCAGCACCCTGCAGCTGAAGACGCAGCTTCACCACCTAAGCTTTCGTCGACTTTTTCGCCGTTTGCGAGTAACATGGAAAAAAGCATTCTTAGAACAGATTTTTAGTATCAAGATAGCCGATCATATATAGCAATTGTAATCCAAAATCTAATCGATTTCATATTTCTATATCCAGCATAAACTCAAATTGCCGTAGATCCATAAACATACCTGAAGCTCAGTGGCATCACAAACCGCAATCTGGCCTTTGTAAAAGATTGTTAGTTGCTGTTTCTTCTGATCTTCCATCGCTTCGTTTAACATTTTGGATTTGGATGGATGACGATGAATTGATGGAGATGGTGATGTAACTTGGAAATAGCCCAGAAAAAAACCCAGCTTCCAAAAATTTAAAGGGATCAAATCAGAGAGAGAAGGAAAAAGAAGAAAAAATGACCCCTATTAAGTCACATAAAAAGACATCCTAGTATTTATAAAGTGACCATTTAACTTCTTTTCTTATTCTTATTTGAACCATGTGTCAATGAAAAATTTATATTTCCACCTTTAATAAATAATTTTTTATTTCAATTTTAACGAAAATATTATAATTTTTTCACAATAAATAAATTTCTACTCCCTCTGTCCCAAAATGACGTTTTACTTTAGTGCAAATGAACATCAAAATGAAATTCGATTATGTGATTATTAATGAACATAAATAATAATAAGTTTATAATTCATCTTTGATTTTAACCTTAAAAAACTATTAACTACGTACTAAACTGATCAAATATAATGACTAATTATTAAATCATAACCGTCATAAACATTATCAATATATATGTGACAACTTAATTAAAAGTAATAATAAATACTACATATAATCTTTATATATCGCTATCATATATAGTTCTCAACAATAATATATGATCACACAATCACAAACAAAAATTATCTTAAACGTATTATTTTTTTTAAAAAAACCTCAACATGATCAAACCACGGAAAAAAAGTGTGTAAAATTTGTAATTGCATTTTATTCACGATTTTTTCGCAACGAAATAAGAATATACCAACACCAATTTTTACTCACAACCAAAGTCGTGGGTAAGTCGTGGGTAATGTAAACTTTACCCACGACTTACCCACGAAATGTTCCGTGGGTAATTACCCATAAAAATTCTCGTGGGTAATACATGGGAAAGGTATGGGCAAGAAATAATTACCCACCACTTACATAAGAAAAATGTTGTGTGTAATTACCCACAACTCATCTTATGTGTAAATCGTGAGAAAATTCTTGACGGGAATAAATTACCTATCGATTATCCACGAAAATTTTTCTCGTGAGTATTTTCGTGAGTAATCTGTAGGTATGTCGTGACTATTTTTTTTTTTTTTTGGATAAAATTTTGGTCAACACTTCATAAGTAAATCGTGGATAACGCATGAAAAATTACCTACGATTTACTCACGACTCATAATGAGTCGTGGGTAATGGCATGTCTTTTTGTAGTGCATGAAGCTCAAATCTCGAAGTTGAGGACATCTACGACTAATTATGGGTTGAACATCTCTGCTCCATATCATTTGAGCTTCTTGGTCTCTTGCATGTATATCTTGCATATTAATTTTCTTTATATCCTTTCTTTTGTTTGGGAATTCTTTTTACATGTAAATTACTATATGCATGAATTGAAATGTACATTTCGTCCTTGGGTTTACAATGACCATTGTCTTTTCTTGCTTTTAGCCTCTTTACAATGCCATGGGCTTCTATATTACCAATATGTACGAGCCTCTTTACAATGACCATTCTTTTTACAGGATTCTTCGGCAAATTCACAAAAATAAAATAGCTTCCCAATTTGTCGTGACTAGATTTGCGGAGTCATCATGAATTTATGAACCTAGCTCGCTAGATATGTCAGGATGCTGTTGCATTCATGTGTAGCTTTCTTAATCGTAATATTTAAGTGAACAGTTAGCAAAGGAAATAATATATACTTTCTGTGTTACACATAAAAATATTGAAACTAAAGTGAAATATTTCTCGGACTTCAGTTAATTTACCGCAAGCAAAGTCATAAACAGTCAATCAACAAATCCAAAGAATGCTAGAGACGAGTGAGTCACTAAATTCAAACCAAGATCCAGAGAAAGGACGTAAAATTAATGAATTGAAAATCATTATAAATTTTTAGTCTGATCAGACCAACTAACTGTATATTCTTTAATTTCCGTTCAGTACTCTAATAAATATGTGCTTGTGACTTGTGAGTGGAATTAGACGCTTACGTTTAAAAGTTTGTATAAAGAAACAAAAAGAAAATCGGCATCGAGTGTGTCTGTTTAATTTCTGGTTGGGTATGGAAAAGGAGTTAACTTCAACGCCATTGTACTTGGAAATAGAGTGAGAAAAATTGCTTACTACGACAAGATGTTCTGGTTATTTTTGTTTAGTTGTGTGGAAAGATTGAGCTGATTTGGATTTAATATCCATTTGTCGAAGACATAATCATAATTCATGAACTGTAAATTCTTATTTAGTTTATTCCAAAAACAGATAATAATTTTTGTTTCAATCATGTTAATTTAGGTTTACCAGCCAGACATACAAACACACTATAACAAAAATAGCAGTTGAGACATCTTTTTATGTCTTAATTCTTAATAAATGGCATAATAAGACACACATGACAAAATTGCGTGGGACACTACTAAATAGTGGTTACTATAATCGAGTCACAATAAATCATATTAAAATATTTGAAAGGGTATTATTAAATTGTCATTTTATAAAGCACTTTAAAGTGACCCATTAATTAAGTTGATAGTTCACAAATAATCCAAATAGTACACTCTTGATTAATACACATTTTCATTTTTAAATAAGACAGTTTTTTAGCAAATATCCTAAACCACATATAATAAGAAACATTTTAGAAAAGGGTGGTGATTCTGCCACAACAACTTTTAGCATCAAGGGCAATTTTAGTTTGAAATTACACAATTATCCATCTAAAAGATACACCTCTCATGAACCTCCACCGTAGGCTGGATCAACTTCTTCCTACGCTTCGACGAAACAGAGCAAGAATACTTCCTAGTTCCTAGAAGTAATCCTAACCGGGTGGGCTTCATCTGAATTTACTCTTAACGGAAAATTCAGCAATGCACAAGAACTTGCAGAAAGTTAGAGATTGGGGAAAGTTAAATTCTACTACTCAACCAATAATTTCTAAAGAAAATCTATCCAATTTAATGTAAATTGCTGACGAGTCCATATCCGTCACCGAGACTGGACCGGCCCATCAACCGAAAGGAGAGTCCAACCGAGACTCTTGAGGTGGTTTAGGTTCCCGAAACCTAATAGGATTCAGGGATTTCCCAGGTAATCTCATAGCTATAAATAGGGTTGCTCATGCCACAATATAGGTATGCAATACATAGCTTAACATACTACATGCTTATCTTCCAGCAACCCTTTATTGACTTAAGCATCGGAGCGTCTACCCTCGGGAGACCCCGAGGCCCTGTTTTGCAAGAAACCCTAGCCGGAGTTCTACCGTAAGACTGGCGGCGTGAAACCAAGCATCGCCAAGTGGCATGCCCAGTAAGACCCGAAAACTAGGGTTTGTGTCATAAAAACCTTCTCAGGTTTCCTTAACATCTCCCGGTAAAAATTAGGGTTGCAGGAACAACCAACACAATGGTTAGAGTTGAAGAAGACACCAGTAGCACAACATCTTCCGGCCAACAGCATAGTCTAGGGGACAACACCTCCCGGCTGAATTCCAACGCAGGCAAGAAAAAAAGAAGACAAGAAAGAGCCATGGCGGAGAACCTGAAAAAGAACCAGCAAAAGAATGCTTGGTCCTTGGCGCTTCCCAACCTGATCCGAAGAAACAAGGCAAAACCAATCTTCCACCCGAGAAAGAGGATATATCTTCTCCTCGAAATATCCCCGCTGCCAAAAAGCGTTTGGAGGATCAGAAGCTAGCCAAGATCGAGGTTGAACTCAAGAAGCTAGGAGATGATAGCGATCAGCAACAGAGGATGTGGAGATATGTCCTCGAAGAAACCAGGCGGCGCTGTCTCCTTGGACAACCCCATCCCACAGAACAGGAGTTGGAGTATTTGAGACGAAAAAGAAGCTTGCAGAACCCTAGCCCTTCTCGAGAAGAAGCGGGGGAAGCAGAAAGTCCAAGAGGACGAGAATTATCAAGAAGCCGAGGGGTATGAAAACCCCCACGAGGAACGCTCGAATGCCACCCGATATACCATATTCTTGAATGCTTTCAGAGAAAGATACCCAGCCTTCGATATGGCCCTCGAGGAATTTGACGCGATATACCGACGTAAAAACACTCGGGAGCATCACGATCCCCCGAGTGTCGAGATCATCGAAGGAGAGGAATCCCCCAAGGTGAACTAATGGACATAACCGCCTGGAGTCCAATTGGAATCGAAGAACCCCTCGAAGAGATGAATATAGACCTGGCTACGAACCACACCAAGGCCACAACAACATCGTAAGCTACTATAACC